CGTTCATAATTCATGTAGTGTCAAACCGCGGATGGTCGAAAAAATTTCCCCAATATCAATCAGATATAAATTAGACAGTGAGTTCTTCATCACGGGAATGAGTCTGTTTTGGTGAGGGACAAAAATAGAGCTCGGAACCTGTTTACTTACGCGTAATAATAACAGCAAACCAACAAACTAACCAACCAACAAAACAAGCACACAACCCATTCCCCTAAAAGAAAAAGAAAACAAAACAACTGCCAACAAATCAAAACAGCCTCTTCTTTTTATATTAACATAGTGTGGCCGACACAGATAATTATTCTCCTTATTCATGTTATACCTAGCTGCATTTTCGAGCATTTTCTTGTACCTCATTCTTTTTTTTTACAGGGATACTACTATGTATACCTTAAATGTGTTCATTTGTCATTAGTATTCCCTGTTATCGCCTGCCCTCTGAGACATGATGCTGAGTAGCCTAACACCAGATACCGCTTGCTGCTTCATTATTTTGGCTGAGTAAACACCCATTATGAAATAAGATCTCTTCAAACTGGCGAGGTAAATAGCAATGTCGCGGACGAGCGAACGATGGAAAGGATGCCGAGGGAGAGGTCGAAAGAGGGAATTGGTGGGAGGAAGGGAGTGAGGGAGGGAGAGAGAGAGAGAGAGAGAGAGAGAGAGAGAGAGGGAGAGACAGAGAGAGAGGGACGCAGAGACATAGAGAAAGAGAGAAAGAGAGAAAGAGAGGGAGAAAGAGAGAGAGAAAGAGAGAGAGAGACACACACACACAGACAGAGAGACAGACACACACAGAGAGGAAGGGAGAAAGGGAGAGAGAGAGAGAGACAGACAGAAAGACAGAGAAAAAGAGCCAGACAGAGAGAGAGAGAGAGGAAGAGAGAAAGAAAGAAAGAGAGAGAGATAGATAGAGACAGACAGAGAAAGAGAGGAAGAGAGAGAGAGAGAGGGGAGGGGAAGCATCGACAGGGAGAGGGGTCCACGTCTAACGGCATATCTCACGTACAAATGCAAAAAAAAAAAAAAAGAATGAACCCATGAAGCATCTGAGAAGTTTGACCTCTTTCTTTACTAGTCAGACATCTTTGTTAATATTGTGTATCCCCTCACCCCCCCCCCCCCCATCACAAAATCCTGAGTCTGCCCCTACTTGGGCTGATACCAGAGATTGGAAGAAAGCACATTGAACTCGGTGTTGAATGTGCTTCATGTGTTTCCAGAGAGACATTCGATGATAGTGAAATGTGACGGCCGTGTTGAAGGTGACTGCTTCTTGTCATCATCAGAATCATTCAAGGATGTAGGAAGAGACTACCCTGAAATGTAAGAGGAAGAGGACAAAATGGGGGAGGGGGAGGGGCACTTAAACAGTAGACGAATAAGAGATATAGGAATAGGAAAGGATATACACACAAGTCATGTAGATTGATAGATATATAGATAGATGGATAAATAGGTAGAGCTAGAGAGAGGGAGGGGAAGGAGAGAGGGAGGGAAGGAGAGAAAGAGAGACAGAGAGAGACAGAGAGAGACAGAGAGAGACAGAGTCTTTTTACACAACACAGAATAAAGTACAGTTCGTTAATGGTATACTTACCAAAGCTTGCATTAAAGACACGTTTTTGTGAGTTTTCACGCTTAAACCGTAGCATTGGACGAATCATTAAGGCGTATAATAAAGACAACGCTTCTTTTTCTTCTTTTAAACACTGATTATACAAACTTTCACAACTTACACGTGTGTCAAGCAAGTGAAATGTTAAATGTGGTGATTCATCAGGGGTTTGTCAATTCAGTCGTAAAATACAGATCGAATCGTGGCGAAGATACGCAGTCACCTGGGAAAGAGACACATAGAGCAAGGGCGATTGGAGGGAAGAGGGAAAGTTAATAATTATGATGGAGGGAGAGGGGGTCTAGAGAGAGAGAGAGAGAGAGAGAGAGAGAGAGAGAGAGAGAGAGAGAGAGAGAGAGAGAGATAGGCAGACAGACGGACAGAGAGAGATATATAGAGAGATCTATAGGGGGGGGGGGTGACAACACACTGGTTCGCCTATGCTTATCGTGCTGTATTATGTATGGTATAGTGCATTTCTACCAACAAAAACCCAGCAAGACATCTAATTTGATTACATCTTCAGTCATACAAAAAGGCTGGATGTTCGTATTTTTCTTATTCCCCTATCATCTCCAGGTCTGGAGTAGAAAACAAAAACGAAAACATTGAAAGCAAGAGAGACCTTGTAGCACATGATTCACAAATTAACCGTGCAACTTCATTGTTCAGCTGGCAAACCGACATGTCAAAGTCATCTCAGTGACTCATTCTCGACATGATTAAACATCTATGCAAAATACTCCCTGGCTCAGTAAGTATGACGCACCCCCTCATTTGCATATCCATCTCAGCTAGCAGACGACTTCCATTCTATGCGTAATACACAAGCGCGCGCTTTTTCATAGCTCAAGGCCTCCCTCCTTTTATGTGATGCATCAACGTATGATGTGTGTAGTAGTACTTTAGAAGGACAGGGTCGAACCAATTATATTAATCATAATTATTTTGTAATTAATTATTTAGTCATAAATTAGTTGAACGTTCAATCATCTATCTACGATTTGAAATAGAGAATGTGGACAATATGGAATATTCGCATGTCGCTTCTACAGTTGACAACTTCATTATGCATACCCTTTCCAGGTTTTGTAATTTGTTTAAGTATGAGAAAAATTAATTTGTCCCGATTTATATTTTTTGACAATGTGACATATTGAAGTTTATATCTAACAGTATTCAACAAAGGCCTAATTCAACCAGTCCACCTCCCTTCCAAGTTAAGAAAACACAAATAACATCAAATACCAAAGGTGTATGAATAATTTAGTTGTTAAGTGTATATCTCTCGAAATTTAATACTCATTTACGGTACATTATCATGATTGTACTATACCTTTATTGTTTGTAACTGACTCATCAGCGGGTATGAATCATACTTGATTTTATGTTAATGTGGAAAATATATATGAACTTCAAACAATGGAATATGGCGTTCACAGTACATTGTGCATTGGCGTTAGGAATACTATGGAGCAAAATCATAAGAAATGTCATAATGAAATGACATGTGATCATAGTGCAAACGGAATTGAATAAGTGTCTCAGGATCATGATGAAATTATTTTGTATTAGAGAGAAAATTATAGAGGTCACAAGTTTGTTCGCACGATCAAGCAAACACACTGCATTAACATAATATATACATTGAACTACGTATTCATACACTGAATAATGATCCATATATTGAATAAAAATTGCATACATTGAATAAAATATAGTTATATATCCATACTTTGAATAACATATCCCTGCATTGAATAAAATATCCATATACATTGAATAGCATACCCCTGTATTGAATATTATATCCATACAATGAATAACATTTACATACATTGAATAACATTTCTACGCAATGAATACTATAACCATTAATTGAATAGAATATCCACACATTGAATAACATATTCCTTCATCGAAAACTATATCCACACATATCCATGCAATGAATACTATATCCATGCATTCACTAATATATCATATACTGGATGATGGTTACCCTTTTGCCTCCTGGAACTGGTGTTTCCTGTATTAAAACCAATGGGAAATATGAGATATGAGAAGTCAACAGGTTAAAGATTCGTATATATGACAAATCAACCACCGCACCAGATGGCCGCTTCTAAACGAGGCATAATACATGAGTTATATATATCCATATATTGAAAGAAATATCCATGCAGTGAATCATATATACGTACTTCGAAAAATAATTATATTCATACATTGCATTAAGAATCCAAACATTGAATATTATATTCACGCATAGAATAGCATATCCATTATACTGGATGATGTTTATATTCCTAACGGTTACCCCTTCTGGAACTGATGGTTCCTGTATTAAAACATATGGAAAATATGAAATATTAGAAGTAGACAGGTTAATGATCGTATGTATTACAAATCAACCACCGTACCAGATGGTCGCTTTTAGACGAGGAAGTATTTCGTTGTTTAATGTCTCTTTGTTTTACTTTCGTATCCTTCAACTGCATGAGCAGTTGATTGAATGGAATAATTGATTATACCGCCCGAGGTTGGTTTTTTAAGCCTCGCTGCTAAGAAAGCATGTGTATGCATGTAAGCCAGCAACCAGGGAACTGACGGCTTTAAGTCCTCTCCGAGAGGCTTGGTAATGATTTTATGCCTTACAATAATGCCTTGGGCATCGACATGGTTTCGACCACTGAGCCATCGCGCCTCCTGTAAGGAAGCAAGCAACTCATAGTTTTAGATTATGTTCCTGATTCATTTTAGAGTGTAAGAGAGAGAGAGAGAGAGAGAGAGAGAGAGAGAAACAGCATAACTAATAGCGATTAAAAGCATTAAAATAATTGGGTATATTCACGTCTCTTCAATATCAATCCAGCAATTCTTATGGGGGACTCCAACATTTAAAAACACGACGACAAACAAACAAACAATAAAACATAAAAATGGCGCCTTCTTGCTTTTAGAATACTGTGATTGGTTGGCAAGCCTGATGCGTGCACTGCACGAGATGCTTTCCATACATAATACAGTCATCTATACATAGAAAAACTCCCGCTGCGCGCGCTCCGAATCATCACGCACGGTAGACAACACAATCATCATCATCCGCAGAGCGCGCGCGCGCTTCGATGTCCTCCTCCCTTTCAATCGCTTTCTGAGCACACCAACTGGCCATCCGTAGAGCATACGGTGTGTTTGCTTTCTCCTCACCAAGAGGAAGATAAATCCACCAACAAAACCCCACTTTCATATCCTAAACGGATGATAATTGCACGGATAATTGTCGAGTGATCAAAAAGGTGCTTGTATCTCGGTTTGGTGTCGACAGAAGCTTGTGATTTTTCTTCCAAGGATTCGATAGGAAAGCATCTGAACGAAGATGAGGATTTTGTCTGTTGGAGTGCTGATAGCCATGGTGCTTACGTGTTCGGTAGAGGCGCGCCCTAAGAGGCATCGTTCACATCACCACACTAAGGTAAGATAATAGAACCTTTTATACTCCCTCATCTATGTTATGGTATTTTGTAGTTAATCTTGTATATCATCATCATTATGTCACTTATGCCTGCAAAACACAATAGCACCAATGAGGATATAAACATAACGCTATCATGGTAAGCTATGCTATATAAAGACAAAGCTATTATAAATGAGTCTATGAAATACATGTACATCGTTCATAGAACCCTCATAATTCATGCATGAGAATACGTTAATGGCAATGGGGATATAAATATTATCGTGCCATATTGTCTCATCCATATATGATTATCATTAATGTGGGGGATACATGTGAATGCGTCCATAGAATCCTAAGATGTTTGTTTGCTTTGTATGTTTGATTCATTCGTGCGCGCAAATACATTATACTAAGTGTAATATGAACATTGGATGTTTCTATATTTAGCTGAGATACTACCCGATATACACATACAATGTCTCATCCTGATATAATAATGATAAATATTTAAAAAAAAGTCACCAATGTTGTTTGCATAGATCGTCCAGCAAAGAAAATACCGTGAACAAAACGCGTGACTCATAACCTATCTGAATAGTTCTCGAAATGTTCATTGTTTTCTTTGACACTTCGGGTGAGCATGTATTTCTCTAAAATAATATCGAATTTTTTATGGTACAAAAGTCATCAATTTGAAGTGAATGATGTAATTGGTGTTTCATCGTCTAACTCTTTTAGCTAAAAGAAGCATTAGCTTTGTTGAATTTAACAAATAGCGTGTTACTCACATCCTGGGCTTGTATAGTCAAATTTAATATGCTGTTTGCATAGGAATATGACCGACTGAAATTTAAACATGGTGGAAAAATGCTTTAACATGCATTTAATTTCATCGTCTCATTGGAAATGGCTCCCAAGAGTGAGGGAAAGGGCTCATTGTCGCTTTTGGTTTATTATATTTAATGAATGAGGTCATTAACACTTGACAAGATGATAATAATGATAATAGTGGAGTCTTTAGCGCTCATGTCTGGCACATTGCCACTCCTCGAGCTTCATCATCACGGCTGCCATGACAGCACTCAACCATTTTTGTGAGGAATTAATTCCTGCCGGGTACCTATTTACCTCACCTGGGTGGAGTGTGGCAAGTGTAGATTAATGTCTTGCCAAAGGATCTTAGTGTTACCATATGGATTCGAACTCCGTACCTTGCGATTCACAGTCCGGACAGTAGTCCACATGACCACAACACCTCAACACTTTTCACACAATTAAAAATGTTCACATACGCGCAATGGCAGATGCTTTGATATTTAAAACGAATGCAGGGTAGTCAGGTAATTCTTTTATTTTAACAGAAAAAGAATTGAGAAGTGGCATGCGAGTTATTATTATGTTCAGTTTCTACGCACATAACACATAGGTTTTTTATTTTTTTAATAAGAGCAATAACACACACAAAAAAAGAAGGAGAGCAAACAAAAACCGATACAAAAACATCATCACAAAACAAAGAATATTAATTAATATTATTCTCAAAATAGGAAGGAAAAAAAAAATCACATTTCCTAGACTTTTTCATGTTTGCACTACATGCTTTATGCTTGATTGCTTTATGAGATACATGTTAAACAACAGTGTATTATCACCATAACAGATAAAAATATCTTTATTTGCACTTGAAACTGAAACTTTGCTATCGAAATATGAAGGAGTCTAAGGAGAACGCCAACGCGTCTGTGTAAACAAGAGCATTATTTGTATAGCTGTAATTGTTCTTTTAACGAATTTTGTTTCGGTTTCCAAACCAAACACAATTTGGTATATCTTTAGAAAAAGTCATTCAGAAATGTCTTTGATCAGTTCAACATCAATGGCTGATCATACTTGCTATACTGGCCTACAAATCGAGCGCCGTGGACTTGAATAATACAAAAATGAAGAAAAAAATACCACCCTTAGTCCCGCGTATGCATTTCGACGTAAAATATCCTACAGGATTTCTCCTTGTCGACATGGAGTATATAGATAACAACATTATCTACGAAGGACAAATGCCGAACGCAAAAGAGGAACATTATTTATATATCACCGCTGGAGCCTGTGCTATCCACTGAGCTGCAGGATGAATGCAGAGACGTTCTCGTGAACGTTTGGCTTCCAGGTCATACAGGCCGTGTCAGCATTTGCATATCCATTTACTGCACTGGGGCTCACATCTGATTTCAAAGGCAAATAGTCAATATATGCATTTGACCGTCTGCGGGAATGGGAGTGCAGGAGGGAATGTTAGTGTACCAAATAGAATTTGGCGACAGAGAGTCAATGTGTATGGCATGAGTGGAGAATTGACATGAATTTCTGTCTCATGTAAAAAGAAATATACATTCTTATTTCAACCCGCGAAATCAAAACAATTATTGTATGCTTCCATTCCCACGACCTTATTGAATATTGAATAAAAAGGAAATGGATATATATACATACCTATGTACATATATCCTTGGACATTTTGATATAAATGTTCGTGAAAATGATTACAAGTAACTAAATGATCATGCTGATTTAAGGAAATGGTGATTGCCAAATGTAAATTACATGTACATACAAAATGATGACCAATTACAGAAATGCGAAAGAGCAACTATTATCCAAAACATAACATTTAAGCATGATTTTGAGCCAATTTAGATTATTTTAGCTGTCTTGCTTACAAATTAAATAAGAAATAAAAGAAGGAATAAAACACGAAATTGCAACTAATTGCTACAGAGAAGAGTTGTATAAAATTGGGCCAGGTATTACTCTAATACTAATGACGTACACGTGCACGGCATGGGATAATGCACTCACGCCAAAAGAATATTGATGAGCGAGCCGAAATGACTTAGTGGCTTTAACTGTTCAGGTTACCATGGTAACGTCTGTATTCTATTATCCGTATTTCTAAAGGTCTCTATCATATATAAAAAGACTACTATACGTCTGTTTCCGATTCTGTTAAGTTACAGGTATATGTGGTTCGGCATATCATTATTGTAATAGACAGTCGTCAAATACAGATGGTATGGAGATGCCATACAGGAAGAGTATTCCACGTCAGATAGGGTTCAGTCTATTATCATGAATGATGAATGGCCAGTTTTGTGTTATATTCGAAACAAGGGCTTCTGATTGATTAATTATTATTTTTTTTTTTGCCAAGCTTCCAACATACAATATACAAGAATAACATATCAAAATTAAGTCAGCTTGAACAGGATAACCTACGAAAGCTCGAGAGCTTATTTCCATTAGGGACCCCGACAGACATGTACAACAATTAATAAGTTAAAATAGTAATAATATTGAGCGAAAATGCTACATTGATATCATTTACATACACGAATCCGTTACAAAATATAGAGTTGGGAAACTGATCATTGTTGCAAAAACAATTTCATTTCATGTTTACCCAATGACTTCATAGAGCGGCATTCGTACAGAAATAATTTTGTTATTAAACCTGAGACATATACGATATTTTCCTATAAAAAACAAAACAAAACAAAAACAAAAACAAACAAAAATCGCTAGAGAGTACCTTTTCCTTTAAAAGTGTCGATCGTGCAAACGTGCTTTCATGGTATCTCCAGCATCCTTAAATGCAAACATGTACGACAAAGCATGAGAGTATAGTACATAAATAAATATTTCATGCTTTCAGTACAGAAAAGGAATACATTTGTCTATCCCCTATCGGCAAAAATACCTCGTACAATCATTTTACAATAATGAATTATACATAAAGACTTGAAGAGTAAAAACGCAACATGACAGCTGAGACTCTTCGTCAAATGAAATATGCATTTTAGAGTGATTACACGGAGATGAATTGAATCTGAGTTGAGTGAATTGTGAAGAATAAATTGCATTTGCTTTTTCACAAATTGCCAATTTTCCATTACTGAATTGGCAATTTACTATGTAGAAAAAGGAGTTCCCATCGCGGCTGATGACATTATTTTGTTTTGTTCATATTTTACAAGAAAAAAATTGAGACGACTTTATGCAAAGTTTGCAATGAAAGAATAGCTTTTATTTTCAAACAAAGTAAAGTATTTTTTCATACATTTCTCTCTTGATGATTAAATCATTTATTTGTTTCTCTTTCTTTATCATCTTCATTATCATTTCGATGTCATGATTACATTTGATACGATATACATAATGAACTTTGTCAATCCATCACATAATTGCTTCCATGTTCTATGTTATGAAAAAACGCTTCTCTCTTTAAAGTGGTATACATATATACATATATATATATATATATATATATATATATATAATATATAGGAGTTGGTATGGTTAAACTTTATTGGTAAGAGTTATACAGACTGTTTCGCCAGAAGGCTCATCAGTAACTAAATACATGATATACCTATATCTACATTTGCTCCTACAGTTGAGCACTGTCAGAAATTGCAGTTTTACTAAACTTGCTTACATATATATTTTTCAAGGAATATTTCATGAATGGAAATATTAAAACATGTCCATCGAATTGTTTTACGATTGGTTATGTTAAAAAAGCGATTCTTTACAGTAACATGTATACAGCGTGTACATCAGTGAGTATCATTTTGTGTGCCGGTTTCTTGACATTCTCAGATGGATAAATCAGTCCCCGTTGACAGTGTACTTTCAGCGTACTCTCATAAAACCGGATTCATTAACCGCCACCCGTCATAACTTGTTGAGAATGATAAATGGAATCCTGGATTCGGAATGAAAATTACGACTGGATAAACAACAAAGCCCCCCACCCCCAAATCCTCGCTTCCCCTAAAGCGACAGGTAGCTGGTAGGGTCACGTGATAGGGTCACGTGTACTGTGCGGACTGGTGAATACTATGAAGGGGTATTCGTTGGTATGAGTCAATCAGATTCGATGAATCATACGAAAAACAGCGGGATGAGATGAGAGAGAGAGAGAGAGAGAGAGAGAGAGAGAGGGAGAGATGGAGATG